ACAAATTAGCAGATGAAACAATGTGGCACGAGCAGGTTGTACATTTAGCCAATCAGCCTTGGTGAGAGTCCCATGTTATTCAATGGAGGAACAAGCTCACACATCATAGGTAAACATGATTAGGTAAACATGTGCAGTACAATGTTCTGCCTTTAGAGCCAGCTGGACTAAAATGGTGTGTGAGGCCACCTCCTTTGCGAGACGGTCGAGGATCTTGAGATGCCACTTGCGGTTTTAATTGTTGTTTGTTCTCTGCACAAGTAGTACAAGTAGCACAAGTGGGGAGGCTGATTTTCAGATTCATGCTGCTAAAATCTGGAACAATCTTCCTGAAGATGTGAGACAGGCCTCCTCTCTGACAATGTTTAAAACCAAGTTAAAAACAGTCCTGTTTAGCTGTGCATACAACTTAGGGTTTTATATTTGTATCTTTCTTTTTAATGTACTGTGATTATTAATGATTTTAATGCTATCTTGTTTTGTTCAGCAGTTTGAGTTGCCTTGTGTATGAATTGTGCTATACAAATAAACTTGCCTTGCCTTGTAACTAGTTTCACTACAAACCTGCAATTGTAACACAACAAAGTATCAGTAGATGGCGGTGTTGTACAATGACCTAAAAAGGCTTTAGTTCAAGTTGTGGCTGTTTTGAGTCATGTGGAGAACTGGAACTTTAGAATAAATCCCCTGAGGGGTCTGAGGTGTGAATGTGGATGAATGAGGTGCAAATGAAATTTCTTCCTGGAGTCAATCACCCTCCTGGAAGAAAATGGTTTACAGCTATAGATAGATAGATGATTGAAACACTAGTGTTATAACTTAGTTATAACATGTTTTTCAGTCACAAACATTTTTTAGATTGTATAATCTGTAATAATAATCTAAGAACTGGAATCATAATCTTAACATAATAATTCAAGATGGAAACATGTTATAAAGATATAAATCTGCAGGAGCATGTGACAGTAAGTGTCTCCTCATTAAGCACTAATAGTTTGTAATAGTGTCAGTGACATAACGGCAGAACAGGCCGCCACACGTCTGCAGTCTGGATACTAAATGACACACCACCAGGAAAATCCAGCAAAAACACAACATTGCTTCATAACAAGTCTATTTTTATCCACAGATCCCGGAGGAAAGACAAGTGTATGTTTAAGAAGTGTTTTAGCAAAAGGTGTTTCAGCCAAACTCAGTATTAGTCTATTTGTGATGCAAAACTCACTTCTGTTTTGGTATAATTCCATATATGACTTTTCTCATAAATCCAATTACGCAATGGTATGATCGCATTTGAAAAATAAGAACCTCTTAGTCATGTTTTTGAAATCTGCCGTTATTGTGATCCATTTGGTAATCATTATCTCAGATTTGAATTTAAAAGACAATAAGGAAACATTTGTACTTTTCCTAATCCTCTTGTGACACAAAACAACAAATGAGTTACATTTGCAACACTTTTGTTTTACATGACGTTAAGGAAAAGGGTAGCAGGAGGCACGATCCATTCAGACCAGTGGTTCCCAAACTTTTTTGCGCACCCTCTCGCCAGCATAGCCAGGGCACAAGCTGTTAAGATCGGACACACACACACACACACACACACTCACACACATACAAAAGATCACTTTTATTGAACTTGAGTCTGAACAACATGCGTGCTGTAATTGTGGGACAATAATCCACTACTTTTTCTAGTTCTTATATACATTGGCCTATATCAGAATCATAATCATAATTATTTTTATTGCCAATGTAAGTAACAGGCAGGCACAATTTTCTTTGGTATATGGCGCAAACAACTTCTGAAAAAAGTAAACCAAATTGTTATAAAGGCATACATCAAATATCTTAATACAATTCTAATATAAAAATCAAAAATACATAACGTCGCAGCAAATGCATGTATTTTTATTGTAGAGGAGGATCTTCTGGGGCGCAGGAAAGAATTTGGACACAGGTCTATCAGCTGTGGTTCATGTTTATGTGAACAGTAGTCTAATATTTGTAATGTTATTAGCGATGGATCCTGTGCCCGCATATGAGTCCTTAATAAAGTCTAAATAAAAATCTAAATAAATATATATCCCATTGTACAATCATGAATGTATTAAATGGACGTGAAATATGTATGCATGGTTGGGTTACAAATTATAATTGTGAAGATAAACACTAAGAAATGTCCAAGATAAGATATTTTTGGCAACAGGAAAACAAATAATCATCAAGAAAATGTATTTTAGATACTATTAGGCATCAATTATTAAACCTTGAGGACGGGGAAGGGGTCTGCAGTCCCAGTTGTCCAATAAAGTTATATTCACTAAAAATAGAAACATCACTGCATTTATTGTTTTGATGATTATTCAACAAATCGTTCTGCCTTCATGCTCTGGTAAATATGAGGCTTTCCACTTGTAAGCTGGTAATTACAAGTGTGTGTTTTTTATTTTCATGATTATTAAAATTGTAGATTCACACTGAAGGCATCAAAACTATGAATTCACTCATGTGGAATTATGTACATACTAAAAAAAAAAGTATGAAACAACTGAAAATATGTGTTATATTCTCAGTTCTTCAAAGTAGCACCTTTTGCTCTGATTACTGCTTCACACACTCTTGGCATTCTCTTGATGAGCTTCAAGAGTTATTGACCTGACATGGTCTGAGTTCCCACAGATGCTTAGCACTTGTTGGCCCTTTCCCCTTCACTCTGTGGTCCAGCCCCAAAACCATCTGGATTAGGGTCAGGTCCATTACCATCTAGATTGGGTTCAGGTCAGGTGACTGGAGGCCGGGTCATCTGGCCCAGCACCCCACCACTCTCCTTATTGGTCAACTAGCCCTTACACAGCCTGGGTGTGAATCAACAGTCAATAGTCATGAAAAAAAGACACTCATTGAATGAGAAAGTGTGTCCAAACCTTTGGTCTGTACTGTAAGTCTAATATACTGTATATATAATATACTGTATATATAAAACTGTCTCGGAACTAAACAACCTGTACAATAGTCTCCTAGAACACCCTCACTGACATCACTCCTGGTCTCGGCCTGAAAAAGGTTCCTCTCCTGAAAAAGAGGATAAGAGAAATATCAGTGGGATTTTCCGGGTAGAATAAAGGTTTAAAAAAAAAACAGTGACACTGCTGTCATTTGAATATCACACACACATAGATTTGAAGGGAAACCCAGAGTTTACAATAAAACAAGTGATCTCCTTGTCCAGCTTAACTGACGGCCATTCTTTAGATTCATTATTTACTTCCTGGTTGTGCTTGATGACCTCACTCAATTGTGCTCAGAAATTGTGATTTAACTTAAACAATGTCAAGAATATGTCAGATATATTTAGTGAGTCTGTTTTCTTTATTTTTTTAGAGTCCGACATAAATATTACTAATCATAATAACTTAAAGATGCATTTAGCGATGTTGTTAGCTTAGCCGTAGCACCAACTGGAAACCCCTCGCCTCTTCTCTCCACTCTTCTCTCCACCAAACCAAACATCCAGCACAGGGAGAGTGGGTGGCAAACGTGAAATTGGCATTTTCTGTAACCCTTTTAGGTCAGGTGTGCGCACTCGCGATAAACAGGAAGAGGATGAAGGGGGTAAACGCATCCCATTGTTTTATTTTTATCGGTCCGCTCCAAAATATGTGTTATTAATTTTTGGAGACTATAGGCATCTGGTCAATTCCATTACTATTTGAAAACACAAAAAAGGGCTTAGGGACGTTTTCCCACAATATTTAAAAAAATTTGTCTGGAAAAGTCACTGACTGCATCTTCTAAGTGTCATTAAATTGTATTTGTTGAAAATGGATGAGTTTTGTCTGTCCCTACAACATTGCTGTACACTTCCAGGGAATTTCCACATTTTATTCACAAATGATTCCACAGTTTTAATGATGAAATAATGACAACCTGTTGTACAAGCTGTAAAAGAGAAGGATGTGTTCTTGTTTCCTCTGTCAACAAGTTGCTGCTCTAATGTTATCAGATGGCGGTAATAAAATCTGTGTGTTTGAGGAGAAGTGTGTACTCACTGATAATCCAGGTCCACTCGTTTGAAAGCTTAGCCATAGAACTCCAGCTTTTTGTTTTGGAAGTGTAAATACCCCCCTTTTTGTATGTCTTCATAATGTTGGCTTTTTCTGTTTCTAAATGTAGTTAATGTCTGTCATTATTTTAATGGAATTTATTTTTTGAATTATTTGAATCCCAGAGGATCCTTTTTGACAGCTCCATTCATTTCAATGTAAATTCAAAGGTGAACATTAATTGTTGCTAGGAAACCAACCTTCTATTGCCATCTCAAGGTGCTGGTCCTGGTTCTTGACAAGTTCTGGTTCTGGTTCAGCTTGTTTTCCCATCAAAAAAGAGCAGTTAGCATTTGAAAGCCTTTCAACGAACAATTTTGTTATATTTTTTAAATAACCTGTGTGCTTTTAATTGTGTTTTTAATGGTGCTTTTGGTATTTGTTTTATGTGATGATTTGTGCTTGGTGTTATCCTGTGTAGGAAAAGCGCTCTATGAATGCAGATTGGTTGATTGATTGATATATTTCAAGTTATAACCGGTTTTAGCATTTATTAAAGGTTAAAACCCTTATACATTACTTAACTTTAATAGAACGTGTGGACAACTAAAACTCTTTTTGGGAGATTTTTTCAGAATTCCTTTGATTTGAATTGGCAGCTGTCAAAATGACTGCTCACTTGTTCAGGGAATCCTAGTGTTAACCATTCTTGAACACTAAAAGGGTCAATCTAGATAATATAGACTGGACTGTCTTCAAAATATGTCCTGCGATGAACTTAAACAAAGATGATAAAATGGCTGTAATTTGACCAGCGTCAGCATTACCCCCTGGATCTCCTTTCAGTTTGGAAACTTGTTTGTTCAGCCAGATAGCTTAGCACGTTTCCAAAAGTCTGGATGTTAATCAGCGAGAAATTACATCATCTCTGAAAAACCATTTCTGTCCAACCTTTCACAACTTTTTCCACATTCTCATTCCCTTCATGTCGTTCATCAACCTGGAGTGGAGTTGGGAGTTACTTCTCTTCAGTAAGGCAAATACATTTGTATAGCACAGTTCAGAGAAGATAGAAACAATATAAGAGAAAACGCAGCACAGTAGCTGAGAGGATAGCACTCTCGCCTCTCAGCAAGAAGGGCCTGGGTTTGAAGTTTCCTCCGGTTTCTCCTACCACTAAAAACATGGGTGAATGAGTGTGTGTTTGTGAGTGTGAGACAACGGATGGAAATTAGCCCATGGCTACAATCCGGAGTGATGTGTTCATTAACATGTACTGTCCCAACCAAATAAGTAAGTAATGTTTGTTTATATAGCGCATTTTACAGACCAAGGTCACCCAAAGCGCTTTGCAATGTTCAGAAACCAGATATTTTTCCATTCACACAGTGATGACGGAAGCGCGGCATCAAAGCCCCCTTTCAATTATTCATTCATACCTATTGTACATGTTTTTAGTGGTAGGGGAAACCGGAGCACTCGGAGGAAACCTACGCAGGCACGGGAAGAACATGTAAACTCCACTCAGAAAGGCCTTGTTCCGACCGGGATTTTAACCTAGGACCTTCTTCTTGAGAAGCAAGTAAAAGGTAAAATCCCTTAGTTGTATGCACAGCTAAAAAAAACGTTTTTTTTACCTGGATTTGAACATTGTCAGGGAAAAGAAGCCTCTCTCACATTTTCTGGAAAACTGTTCCAGATTTTAGCTGCATAAATCTGAAATTCTGACTCCCCCTTTCTTAGCCTCCTTTGTCTCTTCAAACTCTTTGGATTATGCAAAAGTCCTATTTATTTATTTAGACATTTATTTAAAGAGGAATAACCCCATGAGATGCATCATCTCGTTTTCGTGGGGGTCCTCCATAGACAGGTTACAGCAGAGTAGTCATTTGATGTATACAACAACAGCAAAAGGAAACAAAAGGATGAAAAGAAATTAGAACAGATTACAAACACACAATAACAGACACACACACGTCATACCATCTCTCATTTATCCCCCTGCACTATTAATACATTACAGATAATATTACATTATTTTGAAAGCATGTTTAAGAAGCACATATACAAACATACACATAGACTTATATCACATGAGAGTGAAAGGTAAACATTTCTCATGCACACAAACCAATGATTAAACCATTAGATTACAGGCAAATATAGAAAAGAATTAGATACGTTGCAAACTCTCCAACAAAAAAAGAACCACAAAGACTTTGCCTGAGCCCCTCAATTGAAGTTGTCCCACTCATTACGGACTGTAGTTATAAACACAAACAAGTATTTTGCAAGTGTGTGAAAGTGGCTCTTCTGAAAGTAAGAAATTAAGTTATGGAACGAATAGAGGCAGGAAGACTGTTCCCGTCTCGAGGGGGTTTAATAAAGAAGGCGTGTTTCCTACGTCTCTGATAGCTCTGGGAACTGTAAGGAAAAGAGTGTCATTGTGACGTAGACTATGACATAAAGTGAAAGGAACAAAGTATTGCTTTAGGTATGATGGAAAATTAAAGTGGATGCATTTGAAAATGAATTGATACCAATGGTGTTGGCGTCTAGCTGTAAGTGTGAGCCAAGACAGTTGTTCATACACAAGGCAGTGATGTGTCCTGTAGGGGCAGCGAAGAATGAATGTGCAGAGACTGTTATAGACGACATCTAGAGAGTGTAGACTGGAGGCGGAAGTATTTTGATATACAAGGTCTGCATAATCTAAAATTGGTTGGAGCAATTGAAAAACGATTATTTTCCTAATCAGAAAATTAAATAAAATTGATAAAGAGTTTTTAGCTGAAAATTCAGTTTGTTAGTTAAGTATTGAATATGAGTTTTGAAGGAAAGATCGGCATCCAGCCAAACACCGAAGTATTTAAAAGTTGAAACTGATTCCAGAGAAGATGTATCTAAAAAAACACTAATATAGGTGACCAGTTGCACACAAACTTTTTCTCTGGAACAGTACTGAGAAGGATTTAGATTTATTTATGAGCAGTTTATTGCATGATCACCAGTGCTGAACATTATTGAAGTCATGTTGAAGAGAGTTGTTAATGTCTGTAATGTTAGGTTTGGAACAGTAAAGAATTGTGTGCATAAAGGTGAATCTCGCAGTCTGAACAACAGTCATTACTAAAGATGGAAAATAATAAAGGTCCAAGAGAGGAACCTTGTGGAATGCCTTTGTTAAGGATTTTAAAATCAGACTGGCTACCTCTAAAGGATACACACTGCTGGCGGTGATGAAGAAAAGAACTGAACCATAGAAGGGAAGATCGGGAGAGGCCAATTTAATTTAATTTGTCCAGAAGCAAGTAGTGATCAACTAAATCCAAGGCTTTGGTGAGATCTAAAAATATGGCACCGGTACATTTGTTATTATCAAAACCAGAAAAAATATCATTAGTAAACTTCAAAAGAGCAGTGGTGGTTGAGAAGTATTTCCTGAAACCTGACTGTCATTGAGAGAGTAAATTACAGGTGGAAAGGCAATCAGATAATTGAATAAGATTTTCTCAAATGTTTTTACAACACTATTGATTGAAATGTTGAACTATTGAAATGACATATTAAAAAGCTTTGCCAATGGAAAAGAAAGAACAGGTGAAGCAAGTTTCAAAAACCTTCCCTCAATGCCATCAGGACTAGGACCACTGCTGGAGGACAGATTGTTTATGGCCTGCAAAGACATCAGTTAAAAATGTGAAAGAGCTAGAACAGGGCTGAGAGTTTGCCGTCAGATCTAGATGGATAAGTGGAGCAGGTACCTGTGGTCACTGGGAGAAATGTAAACTAAAAGCATTAGAAATCACATGCTCACTAATAATTTCATTATTGATTGTCATATTGCTTGTTTCATTGTAAGATTTACCAATTAAAGTGTTTATTTTCCTCCAGAATTGTTTAGGGTTATTGATATTATTTGACAAGCTATTTCTGCAATAATTGGCTTTCGCATTTCTCGTTTGAGTTGTGCACATGTAGTATATGTTTATGTGGGGTAACTAAAATGTAGTAGTGTGGAGCGGCTAGTCTCCGGATCAGAAACTCGCCGTCCCACCAAGAGATCTGTCTTATTTATTTAGGGCACCAGCAGACGTTGAGAGTCTACGACAGACCAAAGGGATATTTGCCTCGATACCAGTATCACAAAATCTGATGGGGTTGAGTACGAAAATCGGCCAGGGATACCCAAGATTTAAAAACACGACGCTGAAGTGATTGAGTTAAAGTTAACGTGGGTTTATTGACTACAAAAATGAAAATAGAAAATATCACGAAAAGGGTTTTCTGGTCACATTAAGCAGGGGCTGTATATATCATTTGAATCACACTCCAACAAAGAACAGTCTTACTTTGAGTGGCCCAAGGGAGGTAATGGCGATGGAGGTCAGTGGAAGGGATGAGAATGAAGAATGGAGATGGGAAACGAGGGTGTCGTCCACGTGTTCTTTGTCCGAACGGGAGCAGGAGGAAACCAGCGGGTCGGATCCAAACGTGGGTTCCACACACAACACGGTCTAGAATAGCGTTGCGGTGGGGTGTCCAGAGAGCCCGAAAGTGGCTGGCGATGGAGAGTCCTCGTCTCCGACAGCGAGGGTGACTGCTGTCCTCGTGGATGTACAGGCCCGAGATGGTGGCGGGCGTAGGCCGTGTAGGGGACACGTACCGACAAGGGAAGGTCGTTATAGTGATTGCAAGGGAGAACCAAGAGGAAGTCCTGGGTCTGCGCCTTTGGTTTTGTTGTGGTCAAAGGGAGCGCGTCCGTGACGTCATCCTTGGGCGCCTCCTTGAGCCGGCATGTTCACACACAGGCAAAACACAACACATAGACATTCTATCGTTCATGATCATATACCGATACACAATGCATTTACATCACAGATAACGCCACATACGACTCGAGTAGTGTCCGTAACGGTTATCAACATAATGTCATCGGGGAATGTCTGTTTCGAGCGTCCGCCTCGGGTGTGATAGTGTTCAGTGTCCACTGGGGGGGCGCCAGAACGCCGTGGGTGAGTCGTTGATTGTCCAGGGACAGGAATGTCCCGGGAGTGAGAGCAGATTTGTGATCTCTGATCTCTGCCAGGCAGAAAGGCACAAAGATGTTTATTCTGGGGCTCAGTTTATTGCCCTGGTTGACACTTATGGTCTCGGTGACCGATGGTGTCCTCTGGTTGACCTGGTCGTCCCTTAGATGTGCCTCAGGATGGGTCATGCTCAGGAGGGCATGTTTACGTATCCTGGTTTGCTGGTCAACGTCCGACTGGGTGTCCTTTAATTCACCTTACATACCCCCCCCACGGCAGAGATGCACCTTCCGACAAGGTGCATGTCATGTCGGATATGCCGGGCGGGTATCCTCAGTCGGTCGTCTCGCCTGTTCGGGTGTTAGTGCGTTATTTGTGGTGACATGTTACAACATTCTCGCCTTAATGTGACTCAGTAATTCTCAAGCGCCTAACTGGGGCCAGGCTAGTGGCGGGTCTCGGGCCTCTGGCTTGGTTTGTCGAGGCCGGGTTTTCTCTAAGGCGAGTCCTGGCCCTGCAGGCTAGTTCTAACCGGGATCAGGGGTTCAGGGAGTGAGCTGCGGCCGTGAACTCTAGGGTTTGGGCCGGTGCGCCTGACTCCTGGGTCTCTTGGTCTGGAAGACTCAAAGTTCCAAACCAAGAGATTAGCAGGAGTTTCTATTTTTAGGGGACTAGAATACAAAAATATGAAACTTCAAAAATCAACAAAAAGGGTGGCTGTCTTGGCAGCGGTTGGGCGAGTCATTAAGGCACTCGATGGCGAAGGGTTTCCATCTTGCTCGTTCAAAAGGGGGTGTAAGGGTTACAAGAATATATGACGTAGCAAGTGGGGCTTTTAATTACGAGAGGAATTTCCTGTATATAAACGGGGATGACAGGTATGACTGTCTAGGAGACTGATTAGGTATCGAGGTAGATATGTTTGGGTCTGAGCTGGTGACTCTTAGTGGGGTTTTAGGCCCTTGGTTCACCTTCTGTGATAGAAAGAGTGACCGTCTCGAGTGGGTGGCTTTGGAGGTCCTCGTACTCTGATTCGTTGACTTGGGGGCGCCGACTTAAATTGCCACGCTCGACGGCACTGTCGCCCCGGTTACGGATCTGTCTCGTCATTGCCTCCGTGCACCTGTTAAAGCTATCGCGGAGTCGTCTAACCCGTCTATTTAGGACGAAGGCCATGGCTACGGCCAGGCCGTACCCGAGTCCTACCGCAATGGCCATGACTGTATCGGGGGCGGCCCAGGAGTAGGCTACTGGTTGGTGGTGGATGGTCGGTCGCTTGGCAATCTCTTGAAGGAGGTTGTCTACGACCGTAACGTCAACGGTTTGCGCCCCCTCGTAGGTGGCTTGGACGAGGGTGGAGGGTTGAAGTTCCAAGGCCCTTTTCTCAAAGAACTCTGGTACCTCGACCTCCGCCTCGTACTGGTTTGGATACAGGTGGTATAATGCCAGGTCGCCTACGTGCAGGATAGCGTCGGCTGGGACGTCGACCCAGAAGGTTTCGTCCGGGAGGTTTACTCGGGACGAGGTGTCATGTTTGTCATAGGTCAGGGTCGCCGTTCTAAGGGGAGTGTTCACTAGCCATCTTGCCCCTACAATCTCTGCTCTAGTTTCGGTTATCTGTTTCCGAGAGGTGACCGTCGCGGGGCACCGACTCCCTGGAGTCATGGGCCTCAGGCCGCAGATGCCATCTGTGCTGTCCCTGACGAAAGGTTTGCTGGGGCAGAGGTAATGGATGTCCTTGGTGAGGGTGCACATCCTTAGATTTGGCGTTAGGTACAAATTGGGGTTACTGTCGTGGTAGGCTACTATGTCTGGTGTCTGGACTCTGACGTGGGCATTGTCCCTCCAGGTCCCTAGGTTAGTGATCCCTTTTAGTCGGTAGATTTTATCGCCGGGAACTATCGGTAGGGTGACTTCCTTTCAGGGACTTTCCCAAGGTCACCACGTCGTTCTGTTGTTGGTCAAGTCTGGTTTTGACGTCCTCGAGTTCAGAGGCCATTTCTTGTTGGTGGCGTCTGAGGGAGGATAGGCTGATGGCGTTTACCGTGGACATCCCCAGGCTAAAGAGGGTGCCCAGGGCGGACGCCGCGCCGAGGAGAGCCCCAATAAATTGTTTGGGTCTGGGACGAGGGTCACTGAGCTCTGTCCTAGTGATCGTGAACTTCTCTAGTTGTGTCAGCATGTGTTGTATGTCTGCCTCAGCGTGCTCCACGACCGTCTGGGTCCAGCGTGCACCTGCCCAATCTTTGAGTGTGACTTTCGAGGGCAGGTTCTTGCGGCTTCACTAGGATTGAGTCTGACAAAGATTCGCTGTGTGTGGAGTCGGACGTCCGTGATGAGGAGCCCGGGTTGTTCCTTTAAAACGATCCCGGAGGCTGGTCCGGTCTCAATAATTTCTGGGGTGCCGAGGCACAGTATGCAGGTCAGCATGAGGAGGAAAGTGGGCCACATGTTCTGCAAGGTGTGAAACAACTGTTAGGGGTTAGGCAGAGAGAGAAAGAGGGGCTCGATTAGTGCAGCCGAGAAGAGTGTTAGTGGGTGCTGGACTAATAGTGTTTGAGGTCACGTGGTGTGTTCCTAACTGGGGTTTGTAGTGTGCCCTGCTTGTCCCATGGGGCTTTTTTTGTGTGGTTTGGTTTGGTTGTGACGAACCCATCTGAGGGTGGGCTCTCTACCTTTTGTGACCTCAATCTGGTGCACTGCGGTTGAGAGTTTGTTTCCCACCCTGTATGGTCCTGACCAGCGGGGTAGCGATTTCCGGCGTAGTCTGGTGGGGCCGGTCCCCACGTCCTGGGGAATGTGCCAAGGTGTAATACCATACCTGGTTTTTGACCTGGAGCTCGTTGTGAGACTCCTTTTGATCGTAGTAGGCTTTGCGTCCTTCGGCGCTGTCTCCCAGTTTCTTTTGTGTAAATGCGAACGTCTGTTCCAGGTGGTCCTGCGGGTCGGTATTGGTTTGCCCTCAGGAGCCGGGGGAGTTTCACGTTCTCGTCACTCTGGTTTGGGGATACGTACCTTAGTATTTCGGTCGCCGTCCGGTCCGTCCTTTCTACCTGTTGTAGTACCTGACGTGTGTTGTTTATACCTCTTTGTTCCGCGGTAGGTGCGTCATGGGCGTGTGCCAACATCACCCCCCTCATGCTTCGAGGCACCACGAGTACCGACGAAGTGAGTGTATCGGAAGCAGAACCTAACAGCCCATGGCGTATTGGCAGGTTGTCTTTATCACGGCCGGAGATTCCGAGCGTCGTGTTGATCGTGACGTCGAAGGGGCATTCTAGTGTGGGGTCCGCACGTCGGAGGGAGGCTAAGTCCAACCTGTCGAGGTCGGGGGCCGTGCGCGTAGGCGCGGCGTTCGCGCAGGTTGTGGGCGTCCCTTGACCGGTTTCGGTTTGTGCCGCAGCGGGCTGTGGGCCGTTCGCGGGCGGCGCGTCTATGAAGTAGCGGTGGTTCTTGCCCAACGGGCGCGGAATGGGCAAGGGCTCCCGGACCTGTGCCCAGATCTTCAGACGTTGGAAGTCTATTAGAGGCTTAAACCGATTTAGAAGGTCCTGGCCCAGTAGGAGCGGATGCGCGTTGAATGGGCAGATGTAGACCGGGTGGACCAGCGTCATGGGGCCCACGGTCAGTCGCATTAGAGCCATTTTACGTATGGTCGTGTCTTCCTGGGAATAGGGTCGTATTTCTAAGTCGCACGGCTGTGTTTTTAGGTCTCTGTGGGATTTACTGGCCAGGGACTGTAACTTACCGAAGAGATCGTCGCCAATCAGGCTGATATCGGCAGCTGTGTCTACGAGCGCATCGTGTTCCCATTGGTCTTCAAGCGTCACGGGCAAGTAGTTTCCCGTAGGTACCTTTTTGTTGTAGATCGCCAATGAATTGGTGGAATGGTGGTTCGCAGTTGGTTGTCGAGGGCCATCCCCTCGTGGGTCTGTGATGGAGTTTACCTGTATTACCATGACATCCCTCTGGTCGTAGCGGATGTCCACAGTTTGTGCGTTGGAGTAGTCGTCATCCGGCTCCTGTTCGCTGAGGTCGTCGTCCATCTGGTAGGGAGCGTCCCCGGCGTCATCCGACACGGACACTGCGAACACGTCGGCGTTGTCTGTCTTCTTCTCTCTGGCTTTGCGCAGGAGCGTGCGGAGGAGGGATTGTTCCTCTCTGGAAAGGTTGCTCTTATTTATGGTTGTAGCGGGACCGTTGTGGCGCACGGTCTTCCCCGTCCGCCTGGCCGGCGCGTCTCTCGCCATATTGCGGGAGTTTCTGGTCGCGTGGCTGTCCGTTCTTCGGGTCCGCGTGTCTCTGGTTATTCCTTTGGGGTCCGCGGTCAGTTTCCCATTTGTGTTTTTGGGCCGTTGGTGCGCCCTCGAGTTCCATGTGGTTTTCCACGCTGTACACCGTAGGTTGGGTTTGCGGCTTCGCCTGTGTCTTGAGCAAATGTTTGCTTTGTGCCCTTGCCACTAGGGTCTTCAGTTGCCGTATGTCCTGTGTAAGGGGGCAGGCGTACACGCCCAGTAGTTGGCTAAGGTTGGGGTGGAGGTTTTGGAGGTACAGGGCCCTGAAATTTGTATCTTCCTCCATCCCTTTGTAGTTTCGGTTGCCGAAGTAGGCCTGTCTCAACCTGTGGTAGTAGCATTCCGCAAGCTCGCTGTGAGCTTGTTTGACTGCCATGGCTGCCGTGAGGGTCCCGGAGGCGCCGTAGTCAGAGTATTCTGCTAGGATGGCTTTGCAGAGCTCGTTGTAGTCTTGTTTTATAGCCTTTGGTTGCCTTTCGATGAAGTCATTCACCTCTCCATTGGACGTGAGTCTAATCAAGAATATTTTGTCATCTTGAGATGCGTGTGGTATGCGGTCGGCGTGGAAGTCGACGACGCGGAGGTATGACCGGGTGTTTGTAGGCATGCCGGGCCGGGGGTCAAAGCGGTTTATGTGTCTAGCTATGCGGTCAAAGTCGCGGTCGGATGGTCCGAGCGGGTCTCGACCTACCGGGGGCGTGTGACGGGCGTCGCGTCCTCTATAGTCCGGGTAGTACCGTTGACCTAGGGCCAAGTCCTGGCGTGCGTCAGGGGGGGTGCCGTGGGGTTGTCCTCCATGATTGGGGAGGTCCCCGGCGTTCACCTGGCGGGTCGCTGGCCATTGTGTCGCAGCATATGCGGACGGCCCAGACTTAGGGTACCGTACGTCGTGTGGTCCATGTAGCATGTTCTGATGTGCGCCAGGGGGGTCGTTGTAGGGTTGTCCGCCATGTTCAGGTCGGGCCCTTTCGTCCCAATGGTGGTAGTCTGAAACATGTCTCGTATGGACGTCAGGTGGGCCAGAGTCGTGGGTCGGGTAGTCATGTTGTCTGTGTCGCATGTCCATGTGTGTTCCCGGAGGGGCGTTGTGGGAGTCCCATCTTTGGTTGTGGTGGTCTCCACCGTCCCAATGGCGGGCTGTTGGCCGTTGTTCGCCGCGGTCCCTGGTCAGTCCGTGTCTATGGGTCTGGTGGCCATGCGTTTCGTATTTCACGTCCCGATGCGTTGCAGCGGGTCCGGCCGGGGGTTGTCTCTCATAGACGGAGAGGTCCCCGGGGACCCGCGAGCGGTCTGTCACGTGGTACGTCGCCTGGCTCGTAGGTGGGTCGAGTCTGGGGTCGAAGTGGTCGATGTGTCTAATGTTGTGTTGTGGGTTGGCTGTAGTTGTGGGCGGTCCCGTTGTTTGGTTGGGGTCGCGCGCAACGTGCTCGGGTCCGTTGTTGACGGACCGCTGGGGTCTGTTCCGATTAGTATTGTTGGGTTGTGTATTGTTCCTTTGACCTTGATTTTGGTCTTTTCCCGTCATGATACTTACCAGTTCGGCCACGCTCCTGCGTTCACTCTTGGACGATGGGTCGCCGTGGTCGGAGCGGGGGGAGTGTGACCGGGAGGCACTGTCTCGGCCGGTTCCGTTCGAAATAGCGGCCCTGATTCTCGCTGCGCGATCAAGATCCATGGTCGCACTTGGAATCATGCTCAGTCCCTGCTGGTGGTCCCTACTTACCTGTTGGATTTGTTCCAAGCGGCTCGCGGCGGACTTCCTAGCTTCCGCTAGTTGCCGTTCTAGTTCACCTACCGTGTCTTGAAGCCCTTCTTTCTGGGCTTCGGAGTCGCGTAAGGTTATTCTGGAGACCGCGGCTAGCTGTCCCAGCCACTGGGTCAGGGTCTTACCTTCCAGTTTCTTCGTAATAGCCTCGGATGCCAATATGGAGGTGGCGTCTAGTAAGTCAGAGGGTGAGCTGTGCTCAAGCGTGTCATAGGCCTGGGGATAACTTCTCTGTGAAGTCGCGCAGAAGGTTATCCACTACGTTGTGTTCTTCCACGACACCGTCGTACTCGCTCAGGCGTGGCGAGTTTCCGCCATCGATTTCCATATTTGCGTGGGTGAGTGTATGCGAGTGTGATTTGGAACGTGTGTGCATGGCACGGTGGGAGGTTGAAAGGAGGAAAGCAGTGCTATAGAGCGGGTAGTACAGCTGTTGTTTGTGTGGTGGTGCAAACCTTGGTGTGTGTCAAAGCCGTGACTACAGCGTCCTCTTCGTGCGGTGGTGTATGCGAGTAGGTAGCCTAGGACTGGGGTCAGGCGTTAGTGCTTCTTCACCTGTGTGTCAGCGAAGAGCGTTGGGGTTAGCGGCGTTGGCGCACGCAGGGTTAGTAGTGGCACCAGCGGTAGCAGCGGTGTAGGACGCGGCGTAGGGACGCGGCGTGGGGACGCGGCGTGGGGACGCGGCGTGGGGACGCGGCGTGGGGACGCGGCGTAGGGACGCGGCGTAGGGACGCGGCGTAGGGAGCAGCGGCGTAGGGAGCAGCGGCGTTAAGACGCAACTGCGTTAAGACGCAACTGCGGCGAGACGCAGCGGCGTTGAGACGCAACTGCGTTGGGCCGCAGCGGCGTTGAGACGCAACTGCGTTGAGACGCAACTGCGTTGGGACGCAGCGGCGTTGAGACGCAACTGCGTTGGGACGCAGCGGCGTTGAGACGCAACTGCGTTGGGACGCAGCGGCGTTGAGACGCAACTGCGTTGGGACGCAACTGCGTTGGGACGCAACTGCGTTTGAGAAGCAGCGGCGTTAAGACGCAACTGCGGCGTTAAGACGCAACTGCGGCGTTAAGACGCAACTGCGGCGTTAAGACGCAACTGCGGCGTTAAGACGCAACTGCGGCGTTAAGACGCAACTGCGTTGGGCCGCAGCGGCGTTGAGACGCAACTGCGTTGAGAAGCAGCGGCGTTTGAGAAGCAGCGGCGTTAAGACGTAACTGCGGCGTTAAGACGTAACTGCGGCGTTAAGACGCAACTGCGTTGAGACGCAGCGGCGTTTGAGACGCAGCGGCGTTGGGACCATAGACGTCGGAACTAGGGGTGCGGGGGGTGCGGCCGCACCCCCTCCGCGTGTGCCGGGAGCGAGAAGTTATCACTATCCTGCGTTCCTTGCAGCCCAAAACCCGCTCCATGCTGTCGGAGGTGCTTATGAAGCTCTGTCTGGCTAATATCTGTCGCAGCCTCTGAGCGCTCTTTCTCAGCCTTGCGCAGATTAAAGACCTGGCTACACCAGTGACGTGCGGTGGGGGATCAATCATGTGTTCATATGATTATACATCATATAAACCAACAGGACCTACAGGAACAGGAGCGGCTTATACACAATTTGTTTGGCTACAGCAGAATATGATTTAATGTCTGCATTGTTTTCTCATACAAAACGCAAACGTTTGTAAATAGTACAAAGTGTGTTATGGGCCTTACCTTAGGTATTAATGAACAGCACAGACCACTTCAGTTAGGACCAGTTTCATGTTTAAGTCCAGATAATAGTTTGAGCACAGACATGTAATCCTCCATTTGGAAATAAGTTCAATGAGTTTTAAAAAGTAAAAAAACGGGTGTCTCTTCCGTAAACTCCGAGTTTTGCTGCAGCCGACTCCCGGGTAAATCCAATTTCTAAATTCAACCTTACCCTTCACCTCCTTTTCTTATGATTCATATCATCATTGGAAGCAAAACATTACTCTAAGTGCATTTTAAATTATCTTAAAATGTATTATAGGTATGTTAGCCAAACCTGTAGCTGCCCTTAGCAGAAGAAGAACAAGAAAGGAGCTTTCTGATGGAATTGGATGCAGCCAAAGTTTGGGCTCAAAAGCGCCCCCTTGAGGCTTTCCTCACTTACAAGCTGTGGTTGAGCGCGATTAAGACCCATATTTGCTTCAAAAACACAATTTATGAGCCATCCTCTTAAATGTAAACATGTTGATTGTAAATTAAATATTTTTGAACTTTTTAAACTGTGATAAACAGAGAAAACAGTTTGATAGCACCTCACAGGACTCTCCCTGTGAGCTGTTGCTTTTTACGTCTCCCAAGAGAGGCTCGCCTCACAGCACCGCTCTGTCAAATCTGCGATTTCAAGGTATAAATAAATGAAATAAGGCACAGCACAAATCACTTGATAAAGTGACCAAACATTATTGTATCCATTTTATTACTTTTCTTTCTATGATCTTAGGTGAGGGCCTTGCCTGCCTCATCTGACCGCACGTCACTGGGCTACACAACACAATGAAGCCACCGGAGAGACTGACGCATGAATGCGTATTGAAAAAAAAAAAGTTCAGTTTGATAAGTGACTTGCTTGATATATATTGTTTCTTTTGTTTTTCTTAACAATTAAGATGGTATGTTATTATCCAGTGTAATCCAAGTATGAGTCTCTCCCTCGACTCTCCCAACAAAAACCCGCCCCCCCTCTCAGAAAATAGTTCCGACGTCCATGGTTGGGACGCAGCGGCGTTGGGACGCAGCGGCGTTTGAGAAGACGCAACTGCGGCGTTGAGACGCAGCGGCGTTTGAGAAGACGCAACTGCGTTGAGACGTAACTGCGTTGGGACGCAGCGGCGTTTGAGAAGCGGCGTTAGCAGTAGCAAGTAAGCAGCAGGCTGAACGACAAGGCAATGCAGTTTTAGTGACAGCACGTAGCGTGGAGGGGCAGAAATACAGTATTAGTTTAACCAACACAGTAATGCGGTTTAACAATAACATGCAGCGGGTAGGAGTGGGAGCACAGTATTAGTTTAACCAACACAGCAATGCGGTATAACAATAACATGCAGCAGGGGGGAAGCAGAAATACGGCATTATCTTAACACAATCAAACAACGAGCTTGGCAGTATAGAGTGGACCACAATAGCACGGAAGTATGGCAAAGCAGTATTAATGTTAGAGCCACGGCCAACAGTTGGTCACAGGACGTGGCGCAGAAACAAATGTCAAGACAGCAGCAGTGTAGCCCCGGAAGTAGCGCACCGGAACCGGAAAGTAGTCCTATGCTAGACAATAAGAGCGGTGTAGCTCCGTTAGCGGCATGCAGAGACGGGGGTTAGCACCATTTGATCGCCAAAGCAAAGGGTCAGTGTGAGCCAGAATAGCTCGACAGTATAGCAAGTAGTATTATTGTTAGACAGCGGGTAAGCAGTGCAGTAAGCAGAGTGGTTCAGAATTAGTGCAAGCACAGCAGCGGCGCGGCACCGGAAGCAGCGCACCGGAACTGGGAATTAGCTCTATGCTAGACAACAATAGATGTGCAGCCTAGCCAGTAGCATGCAGGGTTAGCAGATCAGCAGCAATTTAAGCAGCGAAAGTATCGCCGCGAGTTAACGATTCGCACAAGCACAGCTATCTACAGCGGCACATCTGCGGGCTTTGGTGATCGGCTTGGATGTGTGGCAGAGCACTGATTTGTGTGTGTAGTGTGTGTAAAGCAGCCTGGTTAGCAGGCGGAAAGAGGGGTGAGACAGGGTTTACGGGGGTCACCAGCAGAACCGTAGCATCACATTCAAACAGCTGCCATTCAACGCCAAGTATATACACATATATACTTGGTTACAATCCTCCGTGACGCGGGTCACAAAGGGAGACAGAGTAGGTTTGTACGCCCGTGTTCTGGGCACGGCGTACTTGTTTTTGGTTCCTCAGGGGGAGTTTTGCGCTTTCTCTTAAGAGGTGAAGCGGCTTCACAAACTCACGCCGCCTGCTTGGCCTTAGCAGGGCGTTACGTTGTAGAGTTGCGTAGTACCTAGTACAAAGCCAGGATTTAAGACTAAAATAAAATAGTCTGGTGCATGCACGTGGCGCTTTACGCAAGCGGGGCGCGGGGGAGCTCGATTGGCTTTGGAATCACTATAGCAACGGAGTAGCGCAGGGAGGCGCGGGGTGAGGAGGTGGGGGGAAGCGCTGGGAGCGTGAGCAGTACCAAGTTAGCGTATTCCGGTCAAATTATCAGAGTACGAGTTGATAAATCTGGCTATTTGCGCGGATCTCACAAACAGGGCATCATATATGTAGTATATGTTTATGTGGGGTAACTAAAATGTAGTAGTGTGGAGCGGCTAGTCTCCGGATCAGAAACTCGCCGTCCCACCAAGAGATCTGTCTTATTTATTTAGGGCACCAGCAGACGTTGAGAGTCTACGACAGACCAAAGGGATATTTGCCTCGATACCAGTATCACAAAATCTGATGGGGTTGAGTACAAAAATCGGCCAGGGATACCCAAGATTTAAAAACACGACGCTGAAGTGATTGAGTTAACGTTAACGTGGGTTTATTGACTACAAAAATGAAAAAAGAAAATATCACGAAAAGGGTTTTCTGGTCACATTAAGCAGGGGTTGTATATATCATTTGAATCACACTCCAACAAAGAACAGTCTTACTTTGAGCGGCCCAAGGGAGTTAATGGCGATGGAGGTCAGTGGAAGGGATGAGAATGAAGAATGGAGATGGGAAACGAGGGTGTCGTCTAGGGTTTAATCCCGGGATACGGGATTCCCGGGAAATCTGATGAAAACTATTTCCCGATTCCCGGGAAATGCTATGACGGGAAACGGGAAATGAAAGTAAAAAAAAAAATACAGTGCGCTCCTATTATAAAGCACGTTTATTGTTGTTCAAAGTTCAAACATATTTCATTTACAATCAACATGTCTACAGCTGAGAGGCAGCTCATATATTGTGTTTTTGACAACAAATATGGGTCTTAATCGCGCTAAACCACGACTTGTAATGAGGCCAGGCTCAGGGTACGGGGCACATGTGAACCCAGAATTTGGTTACGTCCAATTCTATCAGAAAGCTCCTTTCTTTTTTTCCATCTGCTAAGGGCAGCAACAGGTTTGGCTAACATACATATAACAAATTTTAAAATCATATAAAATGCATTTAGGGTAATGTTCTGCTTACAATGACGATAGGAATGATAAGGAAGAGAGGAGAAGGGTAAGAAGGTTGATATTAGAAATTGGATGCGCCCGAGAGCCGGCTGCAGCGAAAACACAGAGGAGTTTATGGAGGTGGCACCCGTTTTGTTTTACGCTTTAAAACTCTTTGGGCTTATTTCCAAATGGGGGATTACATATCTGCGCTCAAACTATTATCTGGACTTAAACATGAAACTGGTCTGAACTGAATTGGTCTGTGCTGTTCATTAATAACTAAGGTAAGACCCATAACACAATTGGAAATGTGCCTTTTACGAACTTTTGCGTTTTGTTTGAGCAAACAATGCGGGCCATGGAAAACATTCTGCTGTAGCCAAACTAATTGTGAATAAGCCGCTCTGTAGGTTCTGTTGATTTATATGATATATGTTCATCTGACAAGGCTGAAGTCAGTGCCTCCAAACCACACGCACATCACTGGTCGACAAGTGGATTGCGCAGACATTTAGAATCTCATAATAGTGAAATTCCTGAAGAAAGCCCATCAACAAAACATCTGAAAACGCTATGGCTACTTTAGAAAAGCTAGCAAGTCGCTTGGTGAAACACTAGTGGAGATGGCAGCTTTTGTTGGATTATACATTTGAGTGATATCATACATTACTTGGGTGTGAGGGCTGACTCCTCCCTCACAATTGGAGCTCACACTCCTGTGAGCTGACTCCACCCACTCCAGCTGAGGGTGTTGCCTCCAGGTTCCACCCTATGGCCTGAACCATGGCAGGTCCAGAAGAGGGGATGTTTGGGGAGATTCATTTGAGTTTATATTCTAATATTCAGTATAAGCATATATTAGCAT